CACGGCCACACAGCCCGGAAGACCCACACCAGCCATAGTACCCTATCTGTTTTTGTAAGCCATGATGTAAAGAACCATGAAAGTAACTTTATAACCCTCTTTTTTTGTTTTTATTATTTGTAACTTTTTCTACACGCAGGTCAAAAAATTTACTTATAGTCTCAAATCAATAATTGCCTCAGTTATTTAAAAAATCCTGATTGGGTGACCTAATTTAAAATTAAGCTAATGAAAAGCATGTAGAAACAATGTTTAAATCCAGGTTTGCTTTTAAAAATGAAGGGGATATAATATGATACTGGTATCAACAGCTCCATAATGAATAAGCAACTTACCTTGGCGATAGTGAGGTTAAGCTTAATACTGACCACATTTGTAATTAGCCCTTATTTTTATACATGCTCCAAATAGGAGACTATTTACTTTGGCCCGAATTGGGCTGCTACCTATTAGGGCAACAACCAGTAGATAGATAAGCCTCCCATCTGAAAGCCAAACTTGTTTCTGTTCAGACTCTGAGGTAAAATCTGTCTCATATGTGTGTTAAAATGTCCATTGTACATCCAATGGCAGTCACGTTTAATACTTCCAATTGTTAATAATCCTCATTGCCATTGTGACCAGGAGGCTTTTCCTGGGTGGCCACTCTTCAGAAACCTCTAAGAAGGTTGCAACATTCTTACCAATAGCTATAGCTATTAGAAACTGTCTCATTCCTCCTCAGTGCTATTAACTGTTAGCTGCTAAATGTTTTAGGATTTTCTTGCAGTTTTTAAAATTTTCCTTTATAGATATTGTGCCGTATGCTGGTCTTTATTGTGTTAGGTCTTGGACCATAAATAAATTTTGAATTTATACATGCAATCTTCTTATTCTTTCATAGAATTCAATAAATATGGCTCTTTAAAGAAGTTTATATTTTCCCTTAGCAATTTGTTTACTCTCATTCTCAGATACTCTTGGGACATGTGTAGTGTTTGAGGAAAACCATGATCATGGTAAGCAATACTTTGTATTTTAACTTTTCAGAATCCCAAATAAGGTTAAAAAAATAAAAAAAACAAATATTCTGCTTTTTTTCCCTTGATAATAGATATGGAAGGCAACCAGAAATTGCAACTAAAATATAAATGCCACACAATGAAGAAGCTAAATATGACACGCACACTTCTGATTGAGAAAAAGGAAGGGGAAGAGAACACAGGTGATTCTCAAGTTCTAAAAATTCATCCTCTTTTTCTAAAACTTTTTGTTTGTTTGTTTCCACAGTCTAGAAACCTCTTTAGGTACATCCACCAGATCCCTTCATATCTTATATAGCTTCCTTGCTCTTTTCTATCCAGATTTTACATACTCTGACTGGGTTCACAGATAGTTTAAATGGGATTTACTGAATAAAATTTATATTGCAGAATATATTATTATAAACCATAATTTATAAACCATAATTGATAGGCTTATGCAACATCCTAAGCTGAAGCTAAATACTTCTTTTAGTGGAGCATGTGAAACAGTCACAGACTGTTCTACTTTTCTGTTTTCATGGCTTGTATACACATGCTTTCTCTGCACCACTTCAACATCGGATTACTTTAATTGAATTTATATAAAATTGTAGCTCAGCTCCTCTCTTTCTGTGATCCTGATGAGATCTTAATCAGTCTTTCACAATATCCCAAGCTGTAAATATATTTAAATCAGTTACTAAAAATGTGCAAGATTGTTTATGTTCCCACCTCCTCAACTGACAGGATCAATTTGAGAAAATGCAGAGTTAGTATATGTTCTGTTTGAACATATCTTTTAGGTCTGGGAAGGGCAAGAGTCCTACCTTCCTTCATTAAGGAACTCCACTAATGTTAATGTTATTTGTCAGATCTATTACAGATTAACCCAAATCTGCCATTAGTGGAGTTCAGATCATTGTTGCCCGTCACGAGAGGGACCTGGCATTGAATATCAGTGTGATGCACACATTTCCATTTAATGTTCTATTTAACTTGAATCCTTAAATTTGGAAGTGATGTTTCTTTCCTCATATTTTGTTGCAATAGCTCACCATAACAATCATGCAGTATGCATTTTCTTAATGCAGTACAGTATTATTTCAACATGAATCTTTTTAATCATAAGCAGCAACCAAGTAATCGTTGAGTTTTTGCTATGTAGCATTCTCAATATATGTGACATTTTACAGAGCGACATCACTGCTGGGAAACCAGAAAAGAGGAGGGAGATAAGAAAAGAACAAGATATGAATAAGAAGGGATGAAAATGAATCTTGAATAAAATTACATTTATTTATTTATTTATTTATTTATTTATTTTCTTACTAACTCCTTATCTCTCTCCCCTCCATATAATTTGGCAGGAGGTGGCATAGAATGGCTAGAGCTTAGGGACAAAGACTTCTCATACAGCAGACCAAACATGATTTGCAACTTCTTGTATGAAAAAGACGATGAAACAGCTGAATCCCAGGACAAGCTGGCAGAAGAGTCTGAGGGAGAAGCCAGTGACAAAGGAAACATGGATTGGAATTTGGAACCCAGGATTCCGCCTGACATTGCAAACAATGACGCTGAACCTCTTTTGGATACCCCAGATCCCAACTCAGAGAATCCTTCTACAGGGAACAGTCAGAATATTGCCTCAGAAGAGACTCCGAATTGATATAAGCTGTTTGGTTCATAGCAATCACTGACTGATACCTGATTTGTACATATTATCGTTAGACTCTGAATGTATAGGCAAATTATTTTATGAAACTTTTGTTAGGACCACATTCCTTTTGTGATATTGATCCAATACATTCCCCAAGTTCTCTGCACCTCTTCATCAAACAAGATGGTAAGCAAAGTGGAGAGTGGAAAGAGAGTGGCTTCTGTTGAACCCAGAAGTCTTTATTTGATTACAGACTCTCTTCTCTCGCCTTCTCCCAATTATTTCTTTTGCTTACTGTCTTGTCTGGTGAAGAATTCTGGAGAACTCAAACTTGTGCCCTATTTTGTGATCTTGAATTGATACAATAAAGATACAATTCTAACAAGGACTTGGATTTTTCCTTTTTACCAGTATAGCTGCCTTTGCTTTTTATAATGTAAAATCATTTATCATAATTTACAAACTATGGTAAAAATATTTTTTTTTCTTTCAAGCAGTCACTTTACACATGTGCACAAACAGGAGCACAATGAACAGTTAACCCCTTCTAAAACTCAAGTGAAACACCATCTGTAGGAGGTAGTTACAATCATCAGGTTCAAACCTATTTTCTTCTTGTGCCTTCTCTGTAATGACATCTGCCTTGTGGAACATCTTCCCCTCTGAGATTTGGAGGCTCCAATCCTGTTGGCCTTTCAGAATGCTGTAAAGGCCTGGCTTTTCCCCCAGGTACTGAAGCCAGGATATTAATGGAGCCTGGTGTGGGTGTATGAGATATGTGGATAAGATGTTATAGTGCCTTGAGGTGGCTCTTTTTAATTGATGTTTCTGTTTTCATTATTTTTTTGTTCCCCCCCCCCCCCCGGTTTCCAAAAAATGTGGGGGGGGGAAAAATTGGTGTAAAAAAAAAAAAAAAAAAAA